CCCCATTTGGGGTCGATCGACCATTTCACGGGGGTCGCCAAGCAAGGCTGTCCGCCATTTTTTTTGTCCGCCATTTTTTCCCCTTTTCCGGCGGGTGCCTTACCTCCCTTGGGCTGGGCCAGCTGGTGGTCGGCCTGCTCCGTCTCTGCCGCTTGCCAGCTACGCCTCGGCCGGCGCAGGGGGCGGAACCACGCATGTGTGGCGCTCCCGGGCAGGGAAAGTCCTCGACTTACGACCGGTTGGGTAGTCCTTGACTTACGACCGGTTTAGTCCTCGACTTACGACCGGTTGGGGTCGCGGCATTAAAAAGGTTGAGAACCACTGCACTAGGGTCATTTTAATACTTCAATTTCCCCAAAGAATATTTCTCTATTTTCCTGCAAATAATTTATTTAATTAAAATCGCAGCCAAAGGAACACATGCACTATTCCAGTTTCATCCTTTGCACTGCAAAATGCGAACATGCTCCATCTAAGTAAGCCGCAATCGCAATTGGTTACCACCGCATACCATTTCTGCCTGTCTGCAAAGTACTCTCCAATTTCATTGTGCGCTTGTTCAAGGAGGCTGTCGTCTCCGTGGCCTGAGCCTGTTTGCAACAGCTGCACTACTCGAAACCCATTGCCTAGTTTCATTCGTAGGTCAACCGCAAGATCTCTGTAAATGTGACAAATATGCAACTTTAGCAGCAGAAACAATGCTATTTCATGTTTATCTGTAGTGGTCAAGGCATCAGACTAGAAACTGGGAGACCGTGATCTCTAATCCCGCCTTAGGCACAAAGCTCGTTGGGTGACCTTGGGCCAGCCACTTTCTCTCAGCCCTAGGAAGGAGGCAGGGGCAAGTGACTTCTGAAAAACCTTGCCAAGAAAACGGCACCGACTTGTCTCTAGGCAGTCTCCAAGAATCAGACATGACTGAATGGGGGGGGGGGGAGAGAAGGGTAGCAAATGAAGAGAGTATTGATTCAAATCTCATCTCAAGATCTCATCTCTTTGGCTTTGGCATCGTTTGCAATAACAGTGGTCTGTTTTATATAGCCTAGTTGTCAATGCTGCTAACATCGGCTATTCTCGCTCTGACAACATATGGAGATGCAGCCATTTTCCTTTACTTTATGTTTTACTCTTAGAGTTAGAATTAGATAATATTGGGGGGGGGCAGGAATCTGCATGGGACTTTAGTTAGACATAACAATACTGTATAAGGGTGAGAACCAAAGTTTTTTGAAATAAGAGATGATAAGAAATGATGGGTTGAAGAACTGGAGGGAAAGCCAGCATTTCAAACTAATCGGAGAATGTGATTTATGACAGTTAATTAGAGGAGGGAATTGTGCTTTGATATTATGTGCTCAGGGGAGGGGAATTCAGATTTTGGCTTGGCCTATGTACGTGCAGATGCTATTTCCACTTGAATAAAGATTCTTTAAGGTAAACAATGCCTGGAAGTTCTTTGAAGAGTTTCATCTGTCAGAACCATGACACTAGTCTTAGAAATTATTGGATTTCAGAAATGCTCTGAAATTTTGTAAAGCTATGTCAAAGCTACACAAAATATTCAGTTTTAAATAACAAAGATGATAATCAATGGGGGGGGGGGGCAAATGACAAAGGCAGTGTTTGTGTTGTTGTACCACAACTCCACCTGTTCTGTACATGAGTCAAGATGTCACACAGATGTACAAAAGGAGCAGAGCCTGAAGGGAGAAACAACATGAAGCTGCTTCTGTTATTCAGACATCTCTGGACACCTCTGAAAATAACTTTATGTCAAGCAAAAAAAATATTGAATGCTGCAAATTGAAATTGGCTAGTTTGACCTTTCTGCAATCCTTCTTCATGCTTCATGTTCTTATTAGTCTTTCTAAGGAGTCCAGTTTTGGAAATGTAATTTATGTATACACTCACATTTTTAAATTAATCAGTTCAAAAGCATGTCTTCCCACCATCAAATGCTGTTATATACTTGGGATTTTGTACTCTTAACTGAATTTATCTAGGGCAATTACCTTCTATCCATGTCCAAGTACATTCTTTCAGCTTCTTCAAATTTTCCAAAATAAACCGCCACTTCAGCTTGCCTAAGTGCTTCACTCTGGAGATTGTGAAGGCGTTTTACAAACTTAATACCCTGGTAATTTTTATAACGTACAAAAGCTTGCTCAGCAGTGTGAAGGTCAAGTTTTTGGAGAGCTGTTTCAGCCAGCAGACGCCTGTATAAAGTACACATATTTTATATCTATATAGATATCCTCTTTATTAGGAATACAGATAGTCCTTGACTTATGAACATTTGTTCAGCAACTGTTCAGAGTTATGATGGTGTTGAGACTTATGAGCCAGTCCCCAATGTTATGGTCTTTACAATGCTCCCACTGTCATGTGATTAAGATCTGGGCACTTGGCAATTACAGTCACACTTACAATCAGTTGTCAAATGCCCTGTGATCATCATTTGCAATCTTCTCTGCTGGCTTCCCCAGAAAGTCAATAGGGAAGCTGACAGGGAAGATCACAAGCCAGTGCCACTTTCTAAAAAGATCCCTCCTGTCTTTAGGGACTAGTTGAAAAAGCTCTGTGCTGAAATCCGGGAAGATTTTGGCATCAGGGATTTCAGCCAGCTGAATCAAGAGTTGCTGAAAATCAAGAAGGATTTTCAGCCCTGGAGGATTTTTCAGTCCCAGATGGAGAGGCTTCAGAAGCGAGTGGCATGATGACCTACTGATGAAGACATTCACCTCCAACTTGGAAGATTGAGTTCAATCCTAGGTAGCAGCAGAATTTTTTCTTCTAGGGTGCAAAGAAAAAATATCTGCTGCAAACCGTGCATGGCGTCAGGAAGGGCATCTGGCTAATAACACTTAGCTCCATCCAGTCGCCCTGACTGTACCCTGAATTAAGGGATTACAGCAGACGTGTCAAACACAAGGCCCAGGGGCCGGATGCGGCCCGCGAAGTGGTTTCATGTGGCCCGCGAAGCCATCCTGGAAACAGTGAGGGAACGGCCCCTGCTGCCTTGGCCCGGCTCAGGCCGGCTGGGAACCAATGTACAATTTTGTGGTGGCCATTTATGCTGAAATGCATTCAGTCTTAGCTCCACAAGGCTGTCTGGAAACAGCGAGGAACCAGCCTCTGCCGCGTCTGCCCCGCCTCCTGGGTGCATGCTGGGGAGGTGTCACCCTTTGTGAGGAATGAAGAAATGCACCAGCGCCTGGAAGTGGCCAGCAAATGGCCCTCATCTATTTCACATATCCAGCTTGATGGGCTCCGGGGGAGGGGTTTCGGCAGGCTCTTCCAGTGGACCATGCCTTGGCGCTTGCCCTGGTCCCACCCTTCTGCCAGAGACCCTCAGATCTGTCCCATTCCTGCCCAGGCCCCCACAGGCACCTTTGACGCGAACGATGTAGAGCTGGCCATGCCCACCCAGTAGGCCACATCCACTCCAGCCATGCCCACCCAGTAGGCCGCGCCCACCCTGGCCACACCTACCCGGCCCCCCGAGGACAACTGCAATGCTGATGCGGCCCTCAATGAAATTGAGTTTGACACCCCTGGATTACAGGGTCGTAAAAAGGGAGGTTTTTGTTATGGAGAGGCTTCAGAAGCCTCTTGGTTCTCGGGCTGAAAATCCAAGAGGCACTGAGGCCCTTCCACACAGAGCCTGACACTCCCCCGTACCCTTGCACATCATCCCCAAACCATGCTTCTGCACCATACCCCCATCCACTCTCCCTGAGCTTCTCATGTACCCCCTTGCTCCCTCCCTCACCCAGCAACATGTGGAGTTTGCATCTTGCTGCTGGCTTCCCCACTGCCTTGATTATGGGAAGATTATGGGAAGATGCCTCGCTTAATGGCCAGGGCATTCCTGGTGTGTTGTTGCTTAGTGACGGCAATCACAGTATTCCATGAAAAGCTCCACTTTAGTATTTCAAACTTTTTTTAGTTGAGCTCTACCTCTAGGGATGCGAAAGCTAACTGTCAAATTTGAAAAAAAGAGTGGCATGCCGCAATGAGTACCTAAATATATTGTGTGTCTAATTCTTCTAAACTTATTTCCGAAGCATATATAGTCCGATTGAATTGATCCTTCAAAATCACAAAACTGTAAGAAGTCTCAGAAATTTTCTAGTGCACAATTTTCACCTCTGCACATTGTACCCTTTCTTTTGTTTATTCTCTTTTTCTTTTTAAGTGGGATAATTTAAGTTACTGGGAGGGGGGGAAACTCTGCCTGCCCATTATAGAATAATGGATAGTGATTATAGAATAACTATCCATGGTTTAGGAGGAATAAATAGCCCTCCAAATTTTTCCATAATTTCTCTATGTCCAATATTCTCTGCTAGTAATGCTTATTATAAGAATGCAATAGGAATTACTACAAACTACCATTATGAATCATTATACTGATAACACATAAAAGCTGTAGGAAAAAAAGAAGAAATAGATTTTTTACCAAAGTCTTGGATGTGAATTTTCTTCAATGAACTGGGAAGATTCGGCAATCCCTGCCTCTTTAACAATTGCCTGAGCATCTCGTAGTGATCTAATATCAAAATGTATTATGCAGTCCTTATTAGGGTGTTCAGGATTCTATTTAAATGGGGGAAAAAAATCTCTTATTCATTTCCAATCAAGCTATTTTTTTTCCGCACATGGAAATTTCTTCGACTAAAAGATTTTTTTTTTACTTACCTTTAATATTTCATCCAATAAGACAGATTTTATTTCTAAATCTTCAAAGTTGCAAATATATCCAGAAGTTTGAATGGGCTCCTTAGAATACATAAAGGTAATTAATGGTGTTTTTTTAAAAAAACAAACAAACTTAAATGCATTTTGGAAGTGCTACACAAAGTATCTTTGAATCCTGCTTAAAAGATTTTTACCCAGGCTAATATAGTTTCTACACCTGCAATTAGAACGCCCAAGGGGTTGAACACCTTATGTACAATTCCCCCCCAAATATTTAAAACTTTTTACTTTTAAATCAATGACTAAGGGAGACCTATGAGAATAAAAAGTATCAGTTAAAACAGATATGAGTATAATTGTTCTGAAGGGTAATCAAAGATGACTTTAAAGATAATTCAGGCAATTGGAAGATATTCAATTGGTAATAGCCAAAAGATGTGAAGACAAATTAATTCTTTCTTACCACATGGTTAGGGTAAAATCAAACAAACAGAGAAATCACCTTTATACTTTACTTATGACCTTCTAAAATGATACAGCTATCTTGAAAGTTACACAATGCTATTGTGTAAAGTTACACAATGTTGCTATTGTTCAGTACTTTTATGTCCAATAAATGAATGTTTAATTCATTTATCACTTTATAAATGGTCAGGTGGAAGGGCAAGAAAGGGGTGGCCATGGCAAAAATAAAAAGAACAATTCCTTGAAAATGATTATTTCACTGAACTTTTAGCCCATTTAAATGAACTTCACTTATTTTCTTTCTGAAATTCAAATTCAAATATGACGATCGTGATCGTAATTAAATTAATATTTTTCCATTATTGTTAATTACTCTACCTCAGGATCCAGGTTTCTAAACACATACATCCTTGTTTTCTCCATCATGGCAAATAAATCTGGATTATCTTTGGCCCATTTCATATCCCAAACATCTCTGCGTTCCAGTTTGAGTTGTTCACCAACTCCTTGGCATCCTGAACCATCTGTTACTCGTGTATCCAAGTCAAAGAAAACCAGCATTCCTAACATGTCTATGATAGCAAGACGACTACAAACATAACAAAGGCAGAGGAGAAAAAAAATACTTTTGATTAATATTTCAGTATTAAATCAAAAACGAACATTTTCTCTGGATACATCTTCAGCAAAAAATGAAAAGAATTTTAAACTGGACTTTGCTCTGTAATACAAATATAGAGACTAGGAATATTTGTTTAAACAAAACCTGTCATTCCCATCATAGTTGTTCTTTGCCTGTTTTATAATCTTGTTTTTAGTATAGCACATTGTCTACAATCCTTCAAGATCCTTTAACCAATTTATAAGAACTGTAAATAAAAAATTGAGAATCGCTTTAATAACAAACCTTTCTTTTCTTACCTCGACTTGCAATTCAAGGACATTTGATAGGGCCGATAGTTTAGGAGATATTTTCGAATTAAACCAACATTGGGCAGCCTGTAACTCTGAATGGTGCCCGATTCTCTTCCCTAGGCAAAAATAAATAGCAAGGCACTATGAAGCAAAACGTTTCCTCATTAGAGGCACTTAGTAAGGCATGTAGTATATCATGTCATTTAATAAACTTTTGCTGCACTTCGGAAAGGCTTCTGTATTAATATTCTGATTAAATTAGTAACTGGCTAAATGAACAATTGGTGCATTCTGGCATCTGTCAGCCTAACAAACTGACACGGGAGATCTTTTGCCTGCGCATCTACCATTCCTCTCTTCAATACGCATAATATTACAGAGGCTATTTTAATTAAAAAAACACTATTATTACATTTTGGTCAGGTTCTTAAACTACAAAATGCAAAATGGTTGTGCAGATTTTCTCTTATAAAACTTAGTTAGTTCCCTGAACTGGGTCACTGTGTTTCTCTCCTAAGTTTTCTCTATCAATTTATCTATATACAAATAATGCATAGCTCTAATTCTGTATTTCTGAACTGTTTTTTAATTATCATCCAGAAAAATATTTAATGTGTAAAATTCTTCATGTATGTGGTTGCACTGTGCTTTTATGTAAGATGTTGTAATCTCTGCTGGCGTTAGACGGGAACACTTGCCCTCCAATTTTCAAATAATCTAATTAGAAAGTTGTTAAAGTACCATGTACTATACTTTGTGTATGTGTGTTGTTGCAGATTACCTTTCATATAATTTTTCCCTATTCCTATCCTAGTACAATTCTGTTTTCTTATGTACAATATATACATTCAAATCCATCACGGCCAGATACACTATTTATCTTAAACTAATTTTACGCTTCTCAACTGCTTTAAGATTTATATTTGAAGAGCAAAGAACAAATATTGTAAAACAAAACAAAATTCTCTATTACTTACAATAATCAATGTCTTATCCGATGCAGTTATTGCACAAATAGGATCCCTTGTTCCCTGAAACCATATAAATAATAGTGCAATAGCCAAAATTTAACTTATTTCTCTAGAACAGGGGTGTCAAACTGCCGGCCCACGGGCCGGTTGCATCATACAGAGGCCGCGCCCACCCCAGCTCCGGCAATGCAAAAAAAAAGTCACAATATGTCACAACACGTCACGTGACACGGCAAGTTCGCCACCCGTGCTCTAGAACAAAATGCAAAGCAAACCACAAGGTTAAATGAAATAACATTAAGAAATGTTGATGAGTTATAAAACAGAATGTGTCTTTTTAAATTAAAAAGCGACTTCACATTTAAGATGGAAATAGTAATCCATAAACAAACTTGGCATCTGGAATTCAACTACTGATTAAAAGGGAAACTTACTTGCAGGACCTTCGCATAGTCAAGAGCTCCATCACCTGCTCCAGAAGGACTATCATCCACATGGTAAATCCTGAAAGAAACCAAGCAAATATTGCACTGAAGTTACACTGAAAAAGTGTACCACAATATGGGAAAACTTATGTAAAAAAAGAGTTTTGAATTCCAATTATTATTTCTGGCATCAGCATACGTTCATTTTACAAAAGAGATCTACTGACAAGTAACACATTATTTCAACTGCATTAGCTCTTATTCATAAAACAGCTGTTTTAATTGTTTTTAGAAAAAAGGTAAACATTCCTTTAAGATGCTTTTGCTCTGCGGGTGACGACATGGACACACAGTCACATAAGTTCTTGGCATCAATGTGGATGTGATTTTCTACAACCTTTTCCTAGAAAGTATTTTTTTTTTCTTCTGACAAGATTATTAATCAAATGTCATAAAATCACTGCTAAGTGGAAAGATATACAACACAGGAAAAAGAAGTAAAAAAAAACAATGGACAAACCTTTCTTTGCCTTCTTTTCTGGTCCGTGCTACCTGATTAATTTCCATTGCTGTGAGCTTCTTGTCTACACGGTATTGCCAGATATAAAATGCTTCTTTTGAAGCTGCTATGACCTGGGTTTTAGTCATTGTAACAAACAGTGGGGCTATTATAAAATTCAAACAAAAAAAAACCATAAATTAAAGAATCACCCTACAAAAGAGATGCGTGGCATAAATATTTAATAATGAATAAAATAAATAATAATTAGGCCTTTCAATACTTCGATGCACATTCATCTAATATTAGATGTGAACAACAAACAGCAGCACTGAATAGTTTTGCAAAATTGTTCTGCTTAAACAAACGTATTAGGCAGCATAAGTTCTTTTAAAAAGCATAAATATTTTTGTAGTCTAAGGGCTGAGTTGCAGTTTGGAAGAATAACTTGTCATTTCATCTTATCCACCAATTCACAAGATTAGTGTAAATGATATTAGCTATATCAGAGCCTGTCTCTCAGCCTCAATCCTACATTGACAGGAAGAATGTAACATTATTGTCCATCATTATTATTATAATCTTATCTATCTTATTCTATATTGAATACCATGTACTGTGTCAATTTTGGAACTGGCTGCCACAAAGAAGAGGGAGTCAAGTTATTCTCCAAAGCGCCTGAAGGCAGGACAAGAAGCAACGGATGGAAACTAATCAAGGAGAGAAGCAACTTAGAACTAAGGAGAAACTTCCTGACAGTTAGAACAATTAACCAGTGGAACAACCTGCCTCCAGAAGCGGTGAATACTCCAACACTGGAAGTTTTTAAGAAGAGACTGGACAGCCATTTGTCTGAAATGGGATAGGGTTTCCTGCCTGAGCAGGGGGTTGGACTAGATGACCTCCAAGGTCCCTTCCAACTTTTTTATTATTATTATTATTATTATTATTATTATTATTATTATTATTATTATTATTATTATTATTATTATTATGTTTAAAAAGAATGCAGAAATCAGAAAAACCTAAGCAAAGCAACTTGTAACCTGCAACAAAAAAGTCTACCAAATAACTAGTGTTAATGAGGACAGCAGACTGAGAATAATGTTCGTACAAACATATGCAGATATACTTTAAGTATTTGCTTACCGATATCTATATATTTTGGATCCAAGGGTGTGCCAATGGAATTACAAAGAACAAGTACATACTAGAGAAAAATAAAAACACATACAATTATCACAAGACAAATCCAACACTCTCTAATATAAGGCAAGATTCTGGATGGATTATATAAAGATGTATGTGAACAATTTATTATTTGAACATATAGTCATATTTTTAATCATTTAGAGAAGAAAAAAAAAGCAGCAATACCTATACCAGGGGTAGGCAACCTTGGCTCTTTTATGACTCGTGGAATTCAACTCTCAGAATTCCTGAGCCAGCATGGCTGGCTCAGGAATTCTGAGAGTTGAAGTCCACGAGTCATAAAAGAGCCAAGGTTGCCTACCCCCGACCTATACTTTATGTGTTACGTTAGAGGCTTTTCAATTTAAAAAATAACCAGAGAATGAAAAGACTCCTTCTCATACATAGAAGCACCAGTATTATGTAAAGAGAGCTATCAGCCTTTTCCTTTGTACTACAATATATATTATATATTCTTGCACAATACAAAACCCCCCAATTTTCTTTATCGGTTCCATAATCGAAAGAAGTATAAACTCTCAAGTGACAAAAATGAAATCTCATAAAATATGACAATCTTCCAAAGTGGAGGCTTTTCCAGGATTGTATTAATTTCAAGATTTCCCCACCAGAGGCCTTTTAGCCCCTTCTCCAATGGTGGGATTCAAATAATTTAACAACTGGCTCTCTCTGAAATCACAGAACCCTTTAAGAGCCAGTTGTTAAATTTAAGAGGTGCACACGTAAAAACCAAGCCAGGGCAGGGGTGGGAGGGTAGAGCTGCCCCACGGGCCTCGCACCTGCTTACTTCAGGGCCCATGCACCCAGGCCACTCCCCACTTGGTCACCTTCCCACTCCGGTTCAATGACCTGGCTGCCTGCCCGCCTCTTCCCTTTCACTCCCCTCCTGAGCTGGACTGCCATGCTACAGAGGATGGACCTTACCCAGTCCCCCTCCGCCATTTTGGAGCCAGGGGAGAGTGATGGTGAAAGGCTCTGCCGCTGCAGTGCAACAGCCACATCTGTCACTGGAGGGGCTTTCTTTGGCCCCCGCCACTCCTGCTTCACCCCACAGATCACCTGCTTGGCGGCAGCCGCCACCTCCTTCTCCTCCACCAACTCTCCTGTGGCTTGCGCCATTACCGGGGGGGAGGTGCAAGTCTCCCCTGCCACCTCCCTCTGTCACGGCCACGGTGCACCTGCTTGCATGAAGCAGCAGCCCATATGGGCTGCCTTCTTCCCAGCCAAGAAAGAAAGAAAGGCGGCTTACAGTAGCTTCCTTCACCTCCCCAGGATGTCCTTAAGTCTTCCTTTCTTCCTTCTGCTGGTCAGCACTTTCTTGCTGCCCTGCATCTCCCTTCTCCGTTCTGGAAATGGCAGGCCTGTTTTCTGCCACTTTCCTCCCGGCAGAAGGGAGGGAAGGAAGGACGCTTCGTATGGAAGGGCACTAAGTTCCGGGTAAACTACTCCAGCTGGAGCTGGGCGAGGAAGGCCAGGCTCCCCTTCCCCGATGGTTCTGCAAAGCCCTTGAGGAGGGGATCTGCTTCCTGCAGGTTTAACCTCAGCACCCGCTTCGGACGGTAAACAGAAGAGCTTTGCTCTTTTTCTCCAGGCCCTTTGAAATTGCCCCTCATCCCCCACCCCTTCGCTTTTCTGCCTTAAAATCCAGAGCAGACACTCAGCTTCTTAGAAAAAAATCATACCGGTAGCTACCGTATCCTCAGCTGAGCAGGAGGAAAATGTGTCCGCTCTGGATTTTAAGGCAGAAAAGCAAAAGGGGTGGGGTCAATTTCAAAAGGCCTCATGGAGGAAAAGAGCAAAGCTCTTCTGTTGGCCGTCCAGAGCGGGTGCTGAGGCCAACCCTGCGGGAAGCGGATCCGCTTCTCAAGGGCTTTGCAGAACCATCAGGGAAGGGGAGCCTGGCCTTCCTCGCCCAGCTCCAGCTGGCGTAGTTTTCCCGGAGCCTAGTATCCTCCCATAGGAAGCGTCCTTCCTTTCCTCCCTTCTGCTGGGAGGAAAGCAGAAAACGGGGCTGCCCATTTCCAGAAGGGAGACAAAGGCGGCAAGAAAGTGCCGTGGCGATGATGGAGGGTTGATGGAGGGATAGCAGGGCTGGCGAAGGGAGGCGGCAGGGGAGGTTTGCGCAGATTTATCATAACTGGTTTGGCGAACTCAACAAAAGAATAGGTATCGGTTATGCCAAACCGGTGCGAGCTGGCTGAATCCCACCACCGTTCTTCTTCCTCCCCATTGTTCCTCATGGTCCAGTTTATTCTGGACAGGGTTAGCATCAGTTTCCCAGTTACAGTTAGCCACCACTAAGGTCTTGGTCTTCAGCTTATTCAGTCCTTTCTGACCCTTTAAGTCTCCCCATCCATGCATGGAGCCCAATTCTTGCCTCCTATTAGAATTATTTGCTTTCTTTTGGAGTTAGAGCAGGCTTAGCCCTTACAGAACGTTTTGTTTCACCATGGCTGTGTTCCAGCTGCAACACAGTATTACTGCCAAGCTCCAAGCATCAACATAAACTCCCAAGCTACTTAATGTGGCTTCTGACCCAGCATCTTCCCGTTTAGGTCCTGGTAAGTCTTGTAGCAGCAGTTGGTAATGTTGCTCGGGTCTTGCCAATGTCATCTCTCCTTCCTTCATCTTTTTCCACTCTCCTCTTCACATACACCTCCCCTCAGTTACCTCTCCCTTTGTATCCCAAGAGTCGTGTGAGATAGTTATGAATACCTTCAGCGGAGATCCTTCAACCGTTATTGTCTTTTCCAGAAATAAGGAGGGTAATAAATCAATTGAGCACCTCTATTTTCTACTCTGCCACTAGGCAAAATGATACTATTCTTATTTATTTGTGCCCCATCTTTATTATTTTTACAAATAACTCAACGTGGTGAACTTATCCCACACACTGTCCTCCTCCTATTTATTTCACAACAACACTGTGAGGAGGGTAGCGCTGAAAGAGAGTGATTGGCTCAAGGTCACCCAGCTGGCTTTCATGGCTAAGGTGAGAGTAGAATTCATGGTCTAAAAAATCATGTCTTTCTGATCTGTATATTATTTTGTACTTTGCTTCTTGTTTATTTTACTGTATTTTATTTAGAATGTCTATTATGAAACAGTCTAGAATACCTATTCTGAAGAATTAAAATAAAATAAACACTTTTTACAGAGAACTGTAGACAGTTATGTGGATATATACATTAGGACTAGGTATCATTTCAACCCATTTCACCCCACGTAACTTCTGTGAATAAAAAAAAAAAGAAGCAATTCCAGAAATTACAACAGAGATATAATCTGTACTAATTACATCCTAAGAAACTGTTATTTTGATAGATATATTATCATATAACAACCATTCTATCAGTTAAGGCATCATTTAAAATCCTTGCTTTACCATTCCTCCAGCGGATTCTGTTTCATCCTCCTCCTTTGTAAGCATTGTACAAAAGATATAAGAAATAATGAGGGTTTTTTTTTCAGAAGATAAAGCAAGCATAGCAGAACATTCTTGCCTGAATCATTTGGATTAATTTCTAAAATGCTGTCATATACAGAAGGAGTGGACTTGTACTTTGTTGAAATCAAAGGTAGTACAGTCTGAACACTAAGAGGAATTTCACAATAATAAGTGCAATGTTATGCAGCAGCAGTTTGCCTAGAATGGGGGTAGGCAACCTTGACTCTTTTATGACTCGTGGAGTCATAAAAGAGCCAAGGTTGCCTACCCCTGGCCTAGAAGAATGGTACACCCTTTACTGGAGAAATTGGGGCAGAATGGGCACCCATCAGAGATGGTTTAGGGGATTTCTATACTGAGTGGAGGATTAGATTAAGCAACCTATAATATCCTTTCCAATTCATGTGTTCTATAGTACTAGGAACAATTCAGAATTTCATGATAATTTAATTATAGATTAAGAATGAATAACAATTGGACTAACAGATAAGGTTATAAAATAAGCAATAATACCTGCAGTTGATTTTCATCAGCTTTAGTTGCCAAAATGCAGAAGTCTCCACAGGTTGTTATGGAGATTAAACTCTTGACAAATTTCAAATATTTTTCATTGTTTTTTATATCCCAAAAGACAACACAATATTCTGGACGGTCCGGTCGGGTATATGCATACACTACAGTATTAGTGCAATAACCCCACTGTTAACAAAAACAATAATACTAATATTCCACAATAACATTGTAATACAGTGTGTAGAAATATATTTATAAAATCAACATTGATGAATATCTTTCTCATATTGCTAATTAATCACATTTAAAATGTTGGATGCTTCAGATAATTATTGTTTGTGAAAATGGTATAGGGCCTTTAAGGAAACATCCTCTTCCCCTCCACTCCCCAAACTAATGTTTTGGATCACAATTCCAATAATTAGAATAGAGTTTATGACATTAAAAATAACAATAAATAGTGAACTATAATATACTAAAAACCCACTCAAAAATGTATTAAGCAATATAGTAGTAAGCAGATGCTCAATTAAAACCTGTTCAGGATCTGATAATATTTTAACATGTCTCTTACCTTGTAGTCTGGCCGAATATTTGCAAAATAAATACACTGATCAACAGCTAATGCTATTTTTAAACCGCCTCCTTCCCAAGATAAAGCCGATACTTGTTTCCCTGGAATCTTTAATGTACGCAAATGCTGAAATGACATCAATCATAAATTAGCTGCACACTATTAGAAGTATTTTGAAAATAGTTATAAATAAATAGCATATTGAATATTTTCTTGGAAGTTACTGAAAGAGGTTAAATTAGCTAAGAAAAATCTTGAGAAATATATTTTTATTATTATGCTATTTTTCTTGATCCTTAAATTAAAAAAAAATTATATCTCCTAATAATGTTACATATTTATGTGAATAAATTACTTGAAAGTTGACTGCTTCCAATGTGATCCTTACTTTTTTGAATACTAATTACAGAACCTTTGGCTGTAAAAAAAAAATATCAGATCTTAACAGAGTTGAATAAATGCAAAGAAACCCAGATGACAAAAATATTATCTCTATCATGTAAAAATGATTGAGAAAATCACACATACTGTACATTGGAATTAGCTAAGCACACCACAGTAAAAATAACCTTAACTATTTTAAGCAAAACATTAGAAAGGCGAATGTTAGAGGATACAAGTTATTCACAATATCTTCACAATTACTATAACCCAATTATAAATCAAATTCTTTCTGTGCATTCAGTCATTCCACCTATAAGAATAAGTATGTTACATAAACTGGCAGAAAGATTCAGAGTAGCCTCTACCTCAACCTTACAATACTGACAATCTTTACAGCACACTGACTTTACGGTATAAGAAGCATTCCGTTTTTTGACTTTTGGAAAACACTGCCCTATTTGTTTTTCTGCCAAACTTGTTAAACATCAGCTATCACTTGCATATTAAAAGGATGTTTTTTCATCCATATTTATGTGTACACAAGTTACAAAAGGCAGCCTGTAGGGCTTTTGGACTGGTTACACCCCCCCCACAGATGTTACAGAGGAAAACTGTTAATGCGGCAAGTTAAGTTTCAAGAAAGTTTCTCTGCCTTTATGGTTTCTAACACTTCTCACTTTCCTGGAGCACAGTTTGAAAATTTTGATTTTTTTCAACTATCAATATTAGCTTCTTTTATTTTACACTGAATGTAGAAATAGGAAAATCCATAAAAATCCATAATTTTACCTCACCAAATGGAGAATAGAACTGTACAACATTTATATCTTTATCTTGCACAGGTATCTTCTGGAAGCCTGCAATAGCCAGCACGTTGCCACAGTGGTTCCACTGGATGCTCACAACATTCAGAGCCGCATCAATTAAGACAGGGTCTGGTTGTTGTTTTAAACAAACAAACAAATATTGACATAAATGGCATATACAAATATATTAATGGAAAGATACTTATTATTATATTTGCCCGTTGAATGGAATATGGGAATGGAATGGAATATTCTTCATTGGTCAAGTGTGATTGGACACACAAGGAATTTGTCTCCAGTGCATAATCTCTCAGTGTACATACAAACAACAAAATGATAAGTCATAGATCATAAATTAAAAGATACAATCATAAATCGTACGATACAAACAAGTGATAAATCATCAGATACCAATAGGAAAAGATAGTAGGAAAGTTGAGAAAATGAGAAAGATGAGAAGGATAGCAACAGCACTTAGACTTATGTACTTTTTCACCACTGCTTTACAGCTCTCGCTCTACGTGGTTTACAGGGTCAACATATTGTCCCCAATAATCTGGGTCCTCATTTTACCGACCTCAGAAGGATGGAAGGCTGAGTCAATCTTGAGCTAGTCAGGACTGAACTGCCAAACTGCTGGCAGTCGGCAGTCAGCAGAATTAGCCTGCAATACTGCATTCTAACCACTGCGCCACCATGGCTCTTTAATAGCAATACAGGATAATAGCAATGCAGCCCTACTACATGGATACATTTCTTTAGACATAAGACAGTGCTGTGGGAGTTAGGTGTTTAGCAGAATGATGGCATGGGGGGAAAACTTAGTTGTTTTGACATGCAATATCCTATAGTGGTGTCCTGAGGGGAGAAGTTGAAACTGTTTGTATCCAGAATGTGAGTGATCTTTAGATATTTTCTCAGCCCTCTTTAAGCAACTGAATTTATGGTACTTCTTTACAATTCTTACCACAAGGCATGCTTACTTTGATCATTCTCATGTCTCATTATTTGGCATCTTCCATTGTCAAAACAAATTGCAAGGCAAGGACAGTCTGGTTCTACATATCCTTCTGTTCCTGGGTACCAATGGATTCCTGCAATGCTGAATGCTCCAGTTACATTCACCAAGCAGTTCATTTTCATTTTCATCTACAGTATTAATTCAATATACATACATAAATATATATTTTCACAAATCTAATTATTGTATGATTGGCTGAAACAATATTTAAACTAACAAACATTTAACTGAGCTAATCTGCAAGTAAGTGAAGAAACCTGAACCACATAATAATAGAATCAGCTTAATATTAATATGTAAATCACAATGATCTTTTAAAAAGTGAATTAAATAGCTTTCTTTTAATATACTTTTTTATAACAAATGTATTATAAGAAATAGCTACAGTTCACAATCAAGATGATGTCCTTTAAACCAACTTCACAAATAGGCTAATTAGCAGCCCTGTGTTGTGCTATATTAAATAGTATAATATACTATCTTAAATCCCTTTGATGATTGGAAAAATATTTTTAAACTTTGCAATTGCAGAATTAAAAATCATTCTATCACTGTAGATTAGGCTGGAATGCTTAGAAAAACCTTTCTAACAACTGGATACTAAAGTATCCAAAAGGTGACTACTTAGTAGAATATATCTCTAAACGTACCATAAAAGTTCCATTTTTGTCATAAATGTGTATTTCTCCATTGGCCATTCCAAAGAGTAGAGTTCTACCATCTGGAGACCATGCAACATGGTGAAGTTGTACTTTTAAATCCTTTCCCCAAATACGATTCCCTTTTAAAGGACAATAAGTTCAATGCATCTCACAACAAAATGTTCAAAACTGAAAACATTAAAAATGGAAATTTACAAAGAATTTTATCTCTTGAACATGCACAGCAATGAAAGCTTTATTTCCCTTTTCTCAATCCCTCCCTCTAAGCTCTACCTTTTCAAAATTACTGATATACATTCTTGAATATATACACTTGGATTCAAATATGTGATTCTTACTGTTGATAAGACTACCCTTTAGTCTTCAGTTTCTTTTTTGTGCTGTGTTGTTATATACCAGACATGTCAAACTCGACGTATTGGAACTTTTCCCCCATTGCCGGCAATGGGGTGGGCGCGGTTTTGTCGTGACGCGTCCGGCCTATTGGCCGGTAGTTTGACACCCCTGTTATATACCATTCTGTTCCAGAAGATTATCTCACTCAGCATTAAATATATAAAAAAACATAAGGGATTGTGGAAGACAGGAAGGTTCCATTCTTGGAACACAACTCTATTCCTTTCATAATAACTAAATTAGAGATTAATTGAATTAGGACATTAACTGCTTTAAGAATATATGACAAAAACTGAAATGGAATTGTAATAAAATCATATTATTTTGGCTTTATTCTTCTTTTGATATTGTACATTCTCATAATTAGACATTAATAAAAATATATACCTATCTATATTCTAATAAAGATAATTGGGTTATTTAGAAATGATATTCATGTGCTGGGAAAATAGAACTTAAATGTGCCTTAATTTCAAATGTTTGCTTTAATATGGAAACAAACGATAAAGTAAAATATATGGAAACTTCCTTCTCTATAGTCAGACATTGTTAAGTGAATCTAAGTTATTGCAAAATAATAACATATTTTTTTGGAGAGCAATCACTCCAGTGATGGTAATGTTTCTTGGAATGGAAATATTTAAAGCAGAGGGTCCCCAAACCCCGGGCCGTGGACCAGTACTGGGCTGTGGCATGCCAGCAACTGGTCTGTACAAACAAGCAAAGCCCCATCCGTGGAATGCAGGCAGCACACAAAATCACACACTCTCCGGTCCGCAGAAAAACCTCTCTCCATGGAACCGGTCCCTGGTGCCCAAAAGGTTGGGGACCTCTGGTTTAAAGTGGTATGTGGGAATACATGGCTTAACAACTTCTGCTTAAAGATGTATGGACATTCATGTCCCCTACACTTTTTTGGGCCTCCCTCAGTTTTGTAAATTGGATAGAAAGACCTGATAGAAAACTGCACAGTTGTTGAAATAAGCTTTGAATCCTACACAATCTGAAAATTACAGCTATTGGGAAGATCTTAAATGCATTCAGCTGAATGTGTGCAAACAATACCCTCAGTTCTTCCTATTCAAGATATGGGAACCTAGAGATGGAGCTAACGAGACAATTGTGCAAAGGAATGATTTCTGAAGGGAGCTAACACTATAAGAGTTATTAAACCTTTTAAAAAACTGCATATTCTATTAACATAAGTAGTACTTTACCGTCCACAGAACCAACAATTACAGCGCCATCTTCATATATAATACAAATTTTCTGCCCATCAGCATTCCATCTCATGCTTCTAACCACAGATTTATTTCTATTGTTGATCATCTCCTCATACCAAGCAGCTAAAGTCAAAGGGAAAAAGAATTATCCATATCTACCACACTCCTATTTTTCATCTGAACTATTCTCGTTAAAAGTAATACAAAAGGAATTAATTTGCAAACTCAATAACTTCTACCGAGCTGGACATTGATTCATGGTTATTGTGTAACTACCATGAAGTTGCTCTGAAGAGATGGAGCTGGAGATGGCAAGGAAGGAGCTCTTAAAAACTGCTCTTCCATTCCCTTTCCTTAACAAAAGGAAGTTTTGACCTGTATGTAATAACATATTTTTGTTTATGGCTTTCAGATTTCCTTAAGAATCTCATACAGCTCTAGATTTCATCTGGTTTGCTCCTAATCCACAGCCTCAGAAGCTGGAAAACTGAAAAAGCTTCCCAAATATTCTAGTATCAGGATAACATGGGACCAAAGCAATATATTTAGTTGGTGAGAGAATGTCAACATGATATTAATTTAAAAATAAATCTCTTAGAATAAATTGTCACATTAATATTTTTTTGGGAATAAATAATTCTTTTTAGAATCTTTTAGCCTACAACTGAAGATCCAAAGGTATACTATAGAAATCTCTAAGCCAACTAAGAACTGAAATGCCATAAATATGACAGCCATTCTCCAGCAAGTCACCTACCTTTATACAGCATCCACACTATAATAAGTCCATGCTCATCGCTACTAGTTAGCTTTTGATACTGTTCATTCCAAGTCACTACTTGCACAGCACCTATAAAATTGTATAATGATACTGTTGAGTTACACTAGTAACAAGAAGATTATTTGGGAAAAACGTAATGCACTTTCTACTAAAGATAAGCATCATATACTGTATAAAGACCCATTCAGACCCAGTTTGCAACTTAGGGGTTCTCCTGGATTTGCGACTCCAGCTTGATGAACAGGTGGCAGTTGTGGCTAGGAGACCCTTTGCACAGCTTTGGTTTGTGCACCAGCCTCAGCCTTTCCCAGATCAGAACTCCCTGTGTTTGGTTATTCCAACACTAGTTCATCCCTTCTCTGTCTTAGTGCAATGTGCTTTACATCGGGCTATCTTGTAATGCATTCAGAAGTTTCCGTTGGTACAAAGTGTGGCAGCATTAGCATTCTTTGAGGTCCCCAGAATGCCTGTATTACACCATTTCTTCGTGAGCTGTATTGGCTGCCAGTTTGCTTCTGGGGGAAGTTCATACTGTTAGTTATGACCTTTAAAGTCCTCCATGGAGCCAGATTACTTGATGAACTGTCTCATCCCGCTAAGACAAGCTTGCCCCATTTATACCAGCAGAGAAAGCCTGCTGAGGATCTTGTTGGTCAAGGAACTCCAGCTAACAGGGTCCAGGAGAACTTTGTCTGCTGTAATGCTGGCCCTCTGGAATGTCCTGCCTCCAGCATGAGGTCTGTCCCCATCATCCTGTCCTTCCACAAGGGCAAGACCTGGCCTGGGGACCCAATAGGGGATACCACACTCGAGGTACCTACTGGACTAATTAACTGACCCCACTTTCTGCCCCGCGCTTCTTGTTCACTCTCTGCCCATCTTTTAATTCATAATATTATATTTTCATTGTTTATCTTTATTGTTTCATTACTGTGCTATTTTTATGTTTACATTTTTAATCTTTTTTTCTTCTCATTTTACTGTTGTAAGCCACCCATAGCCCTAGAGCCGGGGTAGGCAACCTCAGCTCTTTTATGACTCATGGACTTCAACTCCAAGAATTCCTGAGTCAGCATAGCTGACTCAGGAATTCTGGGAGTTGAAGTCCATGAGTCATAAAAGAGCTGAGGTTGCCTACCCCTGCCCTAGAGCAAGATGGGCGGCAAATAAATTTAACAAAGAAACAAACAATTTTACATTCATCATAATAAGATTGTGAACTGACTCGTACATATACAAACATATCTATGCGTATGTTTATAAAAAATATCTGAATAATTTTATAGAATCAGATTTTGGAGACTAGAAATTTCCTTCCATTAACAAAAATCTCCACTGCCTTAAAGAATTTTACACAAATGTCCCTAACTTGCTCCTAAAATCAGTTGAGCTACTTGTCTCAGGTTGAGCGTGTTGTCTATATAATAAGGCTGAATCAAAACAAGAATTGTTGGTCAGGAACCTGATGAATTTGATGATTGCTCATATATTAAGATGGCAAGGTTAAAGTTCAGGCCCTAGGAGGCCTTTGAGATTTATGGAAAGCGCATAAGGAAACCACTAGCCTGCAGTTTTGGCATGTGATCAAAACCACAGAAGGTGTGCTTGACTATTTTTTATAATTTCTATATTTCTATACCTTATCTGCTATGTGCCAGCTTCCTCTTATGTAACCAAGCGAAAGCAGAGTGATGTATAAATATCTGCCTCACATTGGGTTCAGGGTTCCTCCACCTTTAGGGAGGACCCGTCTTTATTCAGCTGAATAAATGTGTTCGGCTTATCAAGACAAATCCAGACTCATTCATTTATTTTACTGAGTCACAGCTGACAACCTGCATAACAGAACTAGATGTTCCAATTTTTTTTATACCTTTTTCTCATTTCTAATGCAATCTTAGAACCAGGCTTATCACTTTTACTTTACTGCCTAACACAGAGGAGTTCCTTTTGTTGTTTTAACCCCTGAGAAGTTTAATTTCATTCTAACATCTCTGTGGAGAGTCAGTTTGGTCTAGTGGTTAAAGCACCAGGCTAAGAAGCAGGAGACTGAGTTCAAGTGCTGTTATAGCCATGAGTGACAGCTGGGTGACTTTGGGCCAGTCATTCACTTCGGCCCAACCCATCTCACGGGGTTATTGTTGTGGGGAAAACAAGAGGAGGAAGGTATGTGGGTTATGTTCGCTGCCTTGAGTTATTTGTAAAAATAATAAAGGCAGAATAAAAAGTAAATAAATAAAAACAATAGTCTTCCTTTACAGAATCATTACACAATTACTTCCATCCACCCACTTGCCCTGTTATGTATTTTGCTGGTTCTTTTGTTGCCTGTGACATTGTTCCAAAAGTAATCTGAATATCTGGCTCAGAGCTTTTTCCATCCACAGAAATTAATAACTGGATCAGTTATTTAAAGTCTCCACCATGAAGGCCATTTACAGGATAGTGTAAATTACAAACCAGGAAACCAGTTAACTTTTAGGATATTATAGAACAATTATGTTCTAATAACCTATCTTCTTTGATAACGTCAAGCTTCAATAATACACACCATTTTATACTCTCTGAAGATTTTTCTGCTGGTAAGAACCTTGAAGGCGCAAAAATGTCATAATTTGTACGCATGCCCCCAAATGATACGTTTTCCTCTGCTTCAGCAATCTCAGAGTAACTGCAATTATCTGCTGCTCCTCAACTGGCTTGCTAAATTTCAACCATCTATGTGTTTTGTTGTTTAAGGAAAGCATCGTGACTTTTGAAAGAACTGCCTTCTTACATCTTTTGAAATGCCCCCTTTCAAAATCTTGTGCTTACCGTTTTAACAGGGTAACCTCTGATACTATTTTTTCACTTGCAGAGAGTTGTGCTGTCTGGGTACAGCGGGGCTTCCGACATTGTTGAACCTTCTAACACCAGATTCTACAGAAGGCTATTTCTACAATCAATATCTCAGCAAGCATTAGTGGGGTTTTGGAAAGGCAAGATTTCCTTGTATTGTTCTAGTCTTTTTAGGAGAACTTGAAAGCAATTGTATCAAATGTTCCCAAAAAATCAATTTCTTACTGCTAGCATTTCTGGCATTTTGTTCTGCTTATTCTTGCATACTGTGCAAATATATTCTGAACCATGCAGAAGCTATTTTGAAGTTGCAAGGAGAACATTTTCAGTATACAATGAGAGCTGAGGTACAAGCATATTTCTACTTTATTTGCAACAATTATTGCATATCCTCATATACGTATAGCACTGAAAGAGCACTGAAAGCAGTTTGTTTCCTTGTATAGAGACAAAAAAGATGCTTCCGTAATATTAATATTTCATTTCTAAACATGCCAATTCAAAATTTTATCCCAAGAAATTCATTGGAATTTATCTAGCAAAAATTGAAAGTTCATCACTGAAACCGTACCATTTTCTGAACATATTAGTCAAAAAGCAATTTTATTTGATTGAACAATAGTAACTCTTACCAGTGTGACCCTCAAGTGTCTGATTCATTGAGAGATTGCTAGGTGCAGCAAGCCCCTTTAATTTGGCTTCTTCTAAAAACAAACAAAAAAAGCATTTTTGTAAGACACAAACCCTAAATAAACTAACATTTATAATATTTACTAGCTTACTTTTTCCCTAAATGGTGCCCCCTTTCAACTAATCATAATATTTAACTAGGCATGTTCTGTAGAAACTGATGAGGAACAAGCAGGAATTCCAAAAGAACTGAACTTGTTTCTTTTGCTCATTAAAAAGAAGTTGGAATCCCAAATCCAGCTTCTCTTTGTATTTTTTTAAACAGTATTTTGATTATCTAACTGTAGGAGAAGGAGTGTTAGAACTTGGGAATGGAGCGATCAGCCTAGAATCACTATATAGCCATAGTGGATTAAGCTCAACCTGCCTTGAATTCCATGGACCTCTATCTAACTCCAAACAGGTGCTAACCTTTTTAGCAAAATCAAACTCGCGACGTCACGTGACATCGCGCGACCTATTGGAACCTTTTCCCCATTGCCGGCAAAGGGGTGGGCGCGGTTTCCTCGTGATGCGTCCGGCCCGCAAGCCAGCAGTTTGACACCCCTGGTAATAGGGAACTTCTTTGTGGCTAGGTTTAATTTCAACTGATGGCAAGCCATCAACATATTGTGACTTCACATAAATGGGAGGGAAAACAATCCCCTGCTTTTAAATTCTTTGAACGTTCGTACTTATAAACTACAAAAGAATACATGAAAAAGAATAAAAAATATAACACAAATTAATAAACCACAAATTTTAAAATTTTGTGGAAGCTATGGTTTTCTAATATATAGTTAATTGTAAATCACTTTAGTAAAGTTGAGCTAAAAGTGAATATCAAGAATCAGAATCAGCACAGTATAAATCACCGAACGGAATGCTCAACTATATGTTCATTCCATATTACTAAAATATTCCCATAATTATATCTGAAATCCTGCTCAGCATCAAAAGATTTAAAAAATGTCCACATTTAGTCCTATTAAAATATATATTGCCTGGTTATCAATTATACTAAGATCTTATTAGACTGTGAACGAAAGGACTTCAATGACTGTGACCTAGAAAAGACATCCTTCATTCATACCTTTGATACTGAGTACTTTATATTCAGGCCTTTCACCATCGAGCCAATTTTGCATACATGTAGTCCTCAATTAACAACGGCAACTTGACAAATAGAAACATACTTTCTCTTGAAGGATGGGACCTGCTATTTGGTTGGCAGGCATATTTAATTTATGATAAAAAAGTAGATAGAAATTTTAAGGCTCATATTTTGAGAAGTGCTCTACTTCGAATTTGGAAGAAATATTATTATAGATTAAAGTACAAGATTCCGATTTGGGCAAGTCCAGGACAGATAATAGAGGGGATATCTAAGGGAGTTAAATTGGATAAAGTTTCATATAAAGAATTACTTTTGCTGGTAGGACGAGATTGGCAACTTAAATCTTTAGGAGATCTGAAACAAGAAAACATTGAATATTCATGGTTTTATTATACTCAATTGTCTATGAGGTGGCGTTTGGATCAAAAAGTTGGTATTACAGTATAGGATGTAAATTTGATTAAACAGATTAGAGATCAATCTCAAGCTCATATAAAAAGAATTTATGGTGTATTGGTTGAATTGGATTCGGAAACAGAATTGGTGAAGGATTGTATGATAAAATGGGCTCAAAATATACAAGAACCGATCCTATTGGAAACATGGGAGACAATTTGGATTAGGAATGTAAAATTCACTCAAGC